CAGCAGCAGCAGCAGCAGCGGCATCGGCATTGGCATTGGCAGTGGCATTGGCAGTGGCAGTGGCAGGAGTAGGAGTAGGAGCAAGAGTAGGAGTAGGGATTGTAGTAGTTGTTGCAATTGCAATGGCAATCGTATGATTCATCCGGCTCCATTCCTTTTGAGGATTGTGCTGCTGATGGCCGTGGTGTTCACGATGGGCATTATCGTGCGAGAGCTTTTCGGGGTACATTCGTGCCTCGGCGCATCGAGTTCAGTAAGAGCCTGAGTCTGTCGGCAACAGCATTCTCACCACCACAAATCTCGCTTGCTGGTTCCAATTATTTCTGGCAATGCCATCAGTTCCATCATTACTATGGCGAATGTCATGGACACTGTATGTAGATTTGGACGCCATTGTCGCCTGTCACCATTGTCACGCTTTCAACCGTTATTGTCACTATCAGTGGCACGGTTTTTTGACACCGTTATCTACCTATCCAGCGAGCTACCTCTGGTCAGCCTCCAAGTTGTCCCCTTGGCTGCTCCCATTCCCACTGGGCATCTGTTTTTGAAAGAATAGTTGGCAACAGCAACTGCGAGCGTCTAGGGCCTAGGGTCATGAAAGCAAGCATGGGCAGTATAGGCTGACACCTTCCTTCCCGATGAACGAGTGCCACCTGCTGTTGCTATCTGTGTTCTTTTAAACTCGTGGCTTTTGGGCTTGCCTATGTCCCCGACGCGCGAAACTGTGTTTGCGGTTAGGCGGAGACCAAGACCCAATGCACAAAACCCTCAAGGAATTTTTCACGTGCAGAGAGCCGGGCCAAGGCAACTGTTGCCGGAATTCCAGAGCGTGGACCGCGCAATGTTCACCCTCTTCCGATGCTTTACAGGAACTTGCGAGACTTACGGAGGGGATCCGATCCCAGAAATTCTCTTCGATCAGCTTGGCTACGGGTTCCCACTGTTCATCGGCTACTTCCTGCTCATGATGCTGGTCAGTGTCGGGCTCTTTAACTTGATCATGGCCGTGGCGTCCTCAGCTTGAGGTACTCTGCAAGAAATGTTTGGAGAGCTTCATCCTCTAAACTTTATCAGATTGGGGGAACCCAGGTCTTCATTGACAACGTCACCAAGTCGCAGAACCAACGCAAGCAAAAGGAGCCGTGACTTTGATTCCATCCTTGCCCCCTCACATTGATCCGGGCTTTTGCCTTCTCGCATTGGTTCTTCTAGCTCTGGGCAGGGTGCAGCCAAGGGCCTAGTTGACACAGGCCGCAATGTGCGACTAGAGTTTTGGAGAGGAAGATGGTCTATGTGAAAACAACACGTTAACGTACTTGTGTTCATCCAGAAGCACCAGCAGGTGGCTGCCTGCGACCGAGTAGAGTGGGGATCCGGAGCTTCTTGCTAGGCCCAAGGAGAGTTTTCAAGGCGCTGGCCATTTTGGGGTTGCTTTCTTTCGACAGTCGGTCGACGAAAAGTGGAGAAAGTTGGAGCCGAGAGTGGAGCCAGTTCTTGGAGCAAGATGTGGGAAATGTCGTGATTGACACTTCGTGGAGGTCATCATCGTTCGTATTGCTGTGACTGTTGTGAGTAATTAGTTCTAATTGCTGACATCATTGGGCAATCTTGAGCGGTTCTGTTTCTGTTGCTGCCGCGACGCTCACCACTGCTCCTAAAGCGTCGGTGCTTCGGAGAAGGTGGTTGCGCAGCACGCGTCGCACTGCGCAGCACGGTGTACAAAGAAGGATTCAGGCTTCCGGTTCGACGAGACGCGACGCCGGCCAAAGCCCAATATGTGAGTTTCCGAAAATAACCGGGCACCTTGCTTTGGGGTCCTTATAATAAGGATCCCACCATTTAGGGTACTATATTAGGGCCCCCTATTTTCGGAAACCCCCAATTTAGAGGCCGGAATGATGGCCGTTCCTTAAACCCTAAACCCTAAACCCTAAACCCTAAACCGCCAGGATTCCCAGTCTGAATACGGCAGACCGTACACCGCAGGCCTGATTCGAAGTATTCAGGACCCTGAGTCCGTCCCTGTCGCAACCTTAAGGAACCTTGAGGGTTTAGGGTTATGAATGCTTATTCCCGAAAGCTCTAAACCCTAGACCCTAGGTGTTTTTCATGTCTTGGGGCCGGGGGCGTCGCAAGGAGCTGGGCGAAAGTGCGGAGATGACTGAGATCGCCTTGAAGCACCTTGTTGAGATGTAAGAAAAGGGGCTTAAAAGCGAGGATTTGAGGTTTAGGGGTGAGATGTAATACAAGGGGCTTAAAAGTGAGGGTTTGGGTTCTAGAGTTTAGGGTTGAAAAGGGTTCCTTTGAGGGCTCTTCAAAGGGTTCTAATAGGACTACAGCTACAGTGAGGCTTTTAAGAAATATACCCTCGATAACTTGAAGACGATTTTTTGGGGTACATGCAAATCTCAATAAAAGGTTTTTAGGCTAGCTGGTTTGGGTTAAGGGTTTAGGATTTCGGGTTTGGGTTGGGGTTTGAGGTTTGTTGTGTAGGTGTTTGGGGTTGAGGAATTGGTTCTAATTCCAGGTATGTAACGCACCTGGTCTGAGACTTTAGTAACTTTATTTGCTTTCAGGCTTGCAGTAATCCAGATCTGGACAATAGGAAATATGCCCCTTGTTGTATAGTGATGTACTAAGACGTTCATATGTATGTATATATATATACACACATACGCACGATACCGTATATACTGTACACTATATGCTATATGCAAGATACAGAAACTCTATACCATATACCATACACCATACACCACATACCTTATACCGATATAATCTCGATATAATATGCCAAGGTACTACATATTATAGTATACATTTCACAATGCTATATATTGCACACTTTTCCTGTATACTATTGTACCATATACTATACACTATATGCTATACACCACGCTAGCTACATACTGTGCGATATACCATGCTACGTGACACTACGCTGTACTATGCCAATGCTTTATTATGTCCTGCTGATTATGCATGTCTTCCTATGGCGGGGTTGCATGACCTCAATGGGCCGAGCAATAAGCTCGGAAGCCCAACTCCTACACTGCTTTTGCCGAGCGCAGTAACTGTAGAAACAAGATGCATATGTGTATGTAGATGTAGTAGCAGTAGTAGGAGTAGTAGGAGTAGTAGGAGTGGTAGGAGTAGTAGTAGTAGTAGTAGTAGTCGTCGTAGTGGTGGTAGTAGTAGTAGTAGTAGTAGATGATGATGTAGTGGATGATGTAGTGGATGATGTAGTGGATGATGTAGTAGATGATGTAGTAGATGCAGCAGCAGCAGCAGCAGCAGCAGCAGCGGCAGCGGCAGCGGCAGCGGCAGCGGCAGCGGCGGCAGCGGCAGCGGCGGCAGCGGCAGCACCGGCACCACCACCAGCAACAGCAACAGCAACAACGCCAGCGCTGGAGAAACGGGTTTGTTTTTGCTTGCCGCAGCATTGCTTCAAGGCCGCTTCAAGGCCGTTAGAGGGTTGATCCTTCCAGCTCTCGGGCGCAGACGGCCATGGCAAGTGAGAGTGGGGGCGGCAAGCAGCAGCTGTCTCTCGGGTGCACTTGGCACCATGCATCCTTCTCTCTGATGTCTCATGGGCTATGCAAGGTCGTGAGATCATGAAATACCTCTAGCATCGAATGCGGCTCATTGAAGCGTTTCAGGAGAAGAAATGCCACAAACGGGAGTGCATCAAGTTCCAGCAGGGTTATAATCTGTCTTACTAAACTTGTTTAGTCAGCATCCGAAAACCGTCAGAAGAAAGCGCCACAGGCTGGTGTACACTGGCATGCTGGTGCTCGGACTTACCATCTCGCAGCTCTCTGCTGGCCACCTGACTGCCGGCGCGTACCCCTGGCCGCATCTAAGAGAAGGTCCACCAAGCAACCACCGAGGTGTTCTTGGAGATTGTGGCTAGTGGTCTTAGCCAGCATGCCAACGTCCGTAGTCCTGGGATGGTGAGAATAAGCAGGTAAGAGACAAAGAAGCAGAAGAATGTGCTGATGATGATGAATGAAGAAGATGAAGAAGATGTGATGGTGATATCGATGATGGCAGTGGGAGCGCTGCGCTGCTGCTGCTGCTGCTGCTGCTGCTGCTGCTGTTTCTTGTTGTGGTCGTTGCTGTCGCCAAGGTACGCTCTCTACGGACGCGTTGTCGGTGTTCTGACGATGTTTGCGCTCTCCTTTCTGATGGTCAATGTGGGCCATGAGTTCGTGATCGAGCGAAGCAAGCTGGGCAATTATGCCCAAGACTACTTGGCAGCTCATTTGGTCCTAGTACCGCTTATTCTTCTACTTACGCACACTAAGTCGCCGGCGGACTATCTTAGCCAGAAGGGTTTAGTCCGCTTCCCTAGGGCCTGCACCCCAACAGGCTAGAGTAGCAAGGTGGCCATGTCTGCAGCTGGACTTCCTTGGATTTTTGTGGCGCTCTGGCTGCACTTTGCGCTGCCGAACTCCGGCTTGGCTTGGGGCTCCGCGCTGCTCATGGCAAGGTTTGCGGCACCGACCAGCGCCGGGATACTCTTCAACATGCTCGAGGCAAAATCTGAATCCTAATCCCAAATCCTAAACCCTAAACCCTAAACCTTAATCCCAAATCCTAAACCCTGAAGCCTACGATGTAGGAGCTGACCCCGAACCCTATATAAATGTCGAGGCCGCGGGCTTCAAAGAGACTTGGCTCTTTCGAAAGGCGCAGATCTTGGCCATCTTTGATGACTTGGATACTATTTTGCTTATGATCCCATTGAAAATGTACTTAGTCGGCTTCAAGTGGGAGCTCTCATTCGACGCAGTCTTCGTGACTTTGTGCCTCGGGCTTGCCTGGCAGAAGCTACATAAGATTCGCTTGCAGAGTTCCTGGAGGTGGACCATGCTATATGCCGGAATTATCACGGCTTGCTGTGAGGGGCTCTGCAATTTCACCTCAGGGCGCATTCATATCGAGGTGCTGTTGCCAGCCTTTGTGATGGGTTGCATGACCCGGATTTGCGAGCCGAAAGATGACTGGTGTGAGCTGCTCGACGAGAAGAGGGAGGAGGCGGCAAAAAGCCTGGTGTCCACCTTCTTCATGCTTCTGGTGGGCATGTCCATGCCATCCCTCTTCACGGCCACTTGGGCTGTTTGCAGCCTTGTCCTTAGCACGAAATCCCAATCCAAACCCCGCACACCCCGAAAAACCCCAAGCCCCAAACCCAAAGACCAAGGCTGCGGGGCATCTCACCGCGGGGCAGATGGTCTTCCACGTGACGGTGGTCTCCCTGCTGATGATCCTGGGCAAGATGATGCTCCTGCTCCTCGGCTGAGATTTTTTTTGGGGGGTACTTGGAGGATCATGGGACTTAGTAACTAGGGTTATAAGTAAGGCAACTATAACTATAACCCCAATTAGGGTACTTATAACCTTACTTACCAAGTCCCATGATCCTCCAAGTACCTCGAACCGTTGAAGTCTCGATCTTGTAGGTTCAAGAGCAGCTTAGGTTCTGCTACAGGAAGGAGGCGAACTTGCGGACCCGGCTGGCTCTTTCACTGGGCATGTGCCCGCGTGGTGAGGTGTGGGCTGGGGTTCTTCCACGGTTGAACAAACGTTCTGCACCGACGTGCAATCTACCTACCTTCCCTATTTTCACACCATGGAAAGACCCTCATTTAAAACCCCAAACCCTAAACCCTAAGTCCGAAGGATTGAACAGCCTAGACGAAGCTTCAAAGGCAAGTGACAACAGCACGCTGACACAGACCCCCAAAAGGATCTAAAAAATAGATCCCCTAATTAGGGACCCTAACTACTAAAGGGTACTTTATAGGGACTCCCTTAGGGGATCTATTTTTTAGATCCTTTTGGGGGTCTGGGGAGGTGGGTGCTGGCGTCATTGCGATCTCCCTTGGCCTGGGCATGCAGGACGCGAGTTTAGGGTTTAGGGTTTAGGGTTTAGGGGTTTAGGGTTTAGGGTTTAGGGTTTAGGGTTTAGGGGTTTAGGGTTTCGGGTTTAGGGTTTAGGGTTTCTGATGCTGTAGGTTGGCAGCAGAACAACCTGAATCGAAGCACGTGCAAATACATTCATGGGAATTGGTCGCGATAGGCAATGGTAGTTTCGAGAATTGCAATTACCACGAGACAAGTTGTAACTTTGAGCATTCCGTAGCCTAGCTCAAAACCCTCAAGCCTTAAGCCTTAACCCTAAACCCTAAACCCAAAACCCTAAACCCTAAACCCCTAAACCTCAATATCAGAGCCTTGAAAGCATAGGACATTGGACATGTCTAGATACCGGAAAGCCTTCCAAACACCGCTTTATCGGAAAGAGCCAACTTCGAAATCCCACTGGCTTGGGGGCTTAGGGACGGTTTAGGGTGGGAGCCCTACACCCTAAACCCTAAACCCTAAACCCTAAACCTTAAACCCTAAACTAAACCCTTTCTCTCATATTGATTATTTAAACCTTAATTCATTTTTCCAAATGTTTTTGTTCGGGCCCTGCTCTCGGTGTCTTTATAGGGTTTCGGCCTAAATTATCTCTATAGGGTTTGGGCCTAAATTATCTCTATAGGGTTTCGACCTAAAGTATCTTTATAGGGTTTCGGCTTCAATTATCTCGATAGGGTTTCGGCCCAAATTATCTCTATAGGGTTTCGGCCT